TTGTGTCAGCCTGCACCTCGCTCCGTGTTGCAGTAGCCGGGCGAGTCACACAGTCTCATGATCGCACCTGAGCTGGGAGGCTACGTTGCCTTCCTCTCTCTCTCTCTCTCTCTCTCTCTCTCTCTGCTCTTGCTAGTGTTGGTTCGACCAACACCTCCCTCTCTTGTCTCTGGTTGTGTTCTTTATTTACACTGTTTTGGTACAGTATGATTTCGGTGGTGAGACGAAACATACTTCTTGTAACTCTCTTCACAGAGCATAGTTTAGACTTCGTCATTTTCGACGTTTTACTGAGGTTGTGTGTTGCACTGACACTAAAATACCCCAGGTCCTGAGCTATTGCTTCTGACCTAATTTGTTCTGGCATCTGCGCACTGTCGTAGTCAGGGATTTGGTTATGCTGAACTTAGATTCCATATTAAGGGGGTTTTATGCCTTTCATGGAGGATCTGCTAAAGCTCTCCAGTTAGGGTCGTTATTTTATCTCCTTGTTTCTGACACTGTGCTGCTGCTGCTTGTTACATTGCTGTTCGGCGAATCGGTCGTCTTACTGTTCAAGCAAGCTGTTCTGATTGCCAGGTTGGTCAAGAAGATAGATTTTTTGAGGACGTTTAGTCAGTCACTGGTTAAGTTGAGTCGAGTGTTGAGACATAATGAACTACTTGGAGCACATACATACACACATTCACACATACAATAATAAGGAGTCATTCAGGACCCTGTACCCTGTGTACGTTAGGCCCATATTGGAGTATGCAGCGCCAGTCTGGAACCCTCACCTAGTCAAGCATGTAAGAAAACTAGAGAAAGTGCAAAGGTTTGCAACAAGACTAGTCCCGGAGCTAAGAGGTATGTCCTACGAGGAGAGGTTATGGGAAATCGACCTGACGACACTGGAAGACTGGAGAGATAGGGGGGATATGATAACGACATATAAAATACTGAGAGGAATCGACAAGGTGGACAGACAGAATGTTCCAGAGATGGGACACAGCAACAAGGGGTCACAGCTGGAAATTGAAGACTCAGATGAACCACAGGGATGTTAGGAAGTATTTCTTCAGTCACAGAGTTATCGGGGAGTGGAATAGTCTGGGAAATGATGTAGTGGAGGCAGGATCCATACATAGCTTTCAGAAGAGGTATGATAAAGCTCATGGAGCGGGAAGTGTGACCGAGTAGCAACCAGTGAAGAGACGGGGCCAGGAGCTGTAACTCGACCCCTGCAACCACAACAAGGTGAGTACAACTAGGACAGTACACAATCACCTGTACATTGCTGACAATGTACCAGACGGTACTTAAGAGCCATAAGGATATAAGATGTGCCTTCAGCATCTTCACATATCTTACTTTTGCAATATAAGTGTAGGAATTTATATCCTATATTATATAAAACATTTACGTTAATATTGTTCACCTAGACAACTTTAATTTTGTTAATAAACATAATTTTAATTTCGATTAATTAGTATCTTATCAGCTGTGATCCTAAAATACTTATAAACTGAACCGATAACTGAACCAGTATACGTACTGACTTGTTACAAAAACCCAGTATGAGGCTAAATGCTACAGGACCTTTCGCGTTTTTTGTAACAGTTAGTGTGTGTGTGTGTATGTGTGTGCACTCACCTAGTTGAGATTGCAGGGGTCGAGTCCAAGCTCCTGTGTACTCACCTATTTGTACTCACCTATTTGTGGTTGCAGGGGTCGAGTCGCAGCTCCTGCCCCCGCCTCTTCGCTGATTGCTACTAGGTCCTCTCTCTCCCTGCTCCATGAGCTCTATCATACCTCGCCTTAAAACTATAGACTGTTCCCGTGTGTGTGTGTGTGTGTGTGTGTGTGTGTGTGTGTGTGTGTGTGTGTGTGTGTGTGTTTGTGTGTGTGTTTGTGTGTGCGTGTGTATGTGTATGAGTGTATGAGCGTGTGTGTGATAGTGAGTTGTGTTGTGTGTATGAGTGTGTGTGTGTGTATGAGTGTGTGTGTGTGCGTGTGTATGAGTGTGTGTGCGTGTGTATGAGTTTGTGTATGTGTATGTGTGTGTGTGTGATGTGTGTTGTTGTGTTTGTTATGTATGTGTGTGTGTGTGTGTGTGTGTGTGTGTGTGTGTTTGAATTTGTATATGTGTGTGTGTGTGTGTGTGTGTGTGTGTGTGTGACTCAACAGTCAATATTTGCACCAATAACTCACTACAGTTGTGACTGGGTGTGGAAGTGTGAATTGCTCATTACACTATAATTTGTTCATGATTGTAGCCATGTATAAACGTAAGTAACCATTCTTACAGGATTCATTACCTTTGTAACTTGTGAGCTCATTACCTTTGTACCTAGTTCAGCTATCAAAACTTTGGGGGCCCAGTCCCTGGACCCATTACGTACCTCTGTAATCTGTAAATACCTTTGTAACTTGCCATGATTGTGACTAGACCTACCTGGAGTTCATTACCTTTGTAAATTGTGAGTTCATTACCTTTGTAAATTGTGAATTCATCACCTCTGTAACTTGCTCAGCTATCAAAATTTGGAGTCCAGTCCCTGGACCAATTATGTACCTCTGTAACCTTTTGACTACCGCCCACAGGATGGGTATGGGGTGCATAATAAACATATTAAACTAATTAAACTAACTCCATCTCTAGAACATCCTGTCTCTGTCCACTCTGTCAATTCCTCACAGTATTTTGCATGTCGTTATCAAGTCTCCCCCTAACCCTCCTGTCTTCCAGTGTCGTCAGGCCGATTTCCCTTAACCATTCTTCGTAGGGCATTCTCCTTAGCTCTGGAACTAGCTTTACTGCAAACCTTTGCACTTTCTCTAAGTTCTTGACGTGCTTGACCAGGTGTGGGTTCCAAACTGGTGCTGCATACTCCAGTATGGGCCTGACGTACATGGTATACTGTGTGTGAACGTGTGACGGAAGCATTTACCTCTACAGATTTTATTTCTTAAATAAAAAGATATGTTTTGATAGACTTTTGCCCTATATCCTGCATAATTTTAAGGAGAAACGCCAAACTCTTGTGGTGGATACGGCGCTGCAGCCTACTCACAATGCTCACATTCCCAGGGGGCAGTGATCACCGGGAAGGGGGCAATGATCCCCGGGTAACTCCCCTTAACACTTGCTACCTCAGCTCACCTAGCAGTAGCTAGGTCCTACATTATTTCTTAAGATTAACATGCTAGGGGATTAGGATATCTTAATATCAGCTGGAGTTGAAGTGAGGTATCCCTCAAGGAAGGTTCCTTGATGTTGGTGAGGGGCTCTTGATTTAGGGAATTGGATCTGTGCTCCAGTTCCCCGAATTAAGCCTGAATGCCTTCCACATCCCCCCCCCAGGCGCTGTATAATCCTCCGGGTTTAGCGCTTCCCCCTTGATTATAATAATAATAATGAAGTGAGGTAAACAAAGTGCTAAAAAAAACAGCTTTTAGCTTTCAGCTGCAATTCTATATATAAAAACATTGTAAAAGCTAACGATAGACAGTGTTGAGACATGAGAGGGAACGAGATGCAAAACACTTGGTCAATATGGTAGCGTGTGTGAGCGGAACAACACCATAATGTTTGTGCTAGGTAGGTAGGTACTTGCGGCAGTAACTGGCTGGGGAAGTAATCGAAGCGTTGCTACTGCCTTGTTTTCATGGCACTGGCTGACGGCCTACTGGAACTGGCTGATGCTACTGGCACTGGGTGATAGCCTGCTGGAACTGGCTGCCGGCCTGCTGGAACTGGGTGATGCTACTGGCACTGTGTGATGGCCTGCTGGAACTGGCTGACGGCCTGCTGGAACTGGGTGATGCTACTGGCACTGGGTGACGGCCTGCTGGAACTGGCTAACGATCTACCGGAACTAGCTGGTGGTTTGTACGTACCATCATTTAATAAGTCGATTCTCTGCTGCTTGCCCTTTGTTTGCATGATAAAATTTTAAGTGACGTTGTTCCTGCACCTATGGAATGTTGACCCAGAGAAGAAAGCATATTCACCATCATTCGTGCAGTAGCTGCCAGGCCAAAATAAGAAAAGATTAAGATCTGTTCGGATATTTAACCCGGGGTAGGAAGGGTTACCCACCCAGGATAACCCGGGTAGGAAGGGTTAGCCACCCAGGATAACCTGGGGTAGGAAGGGTTAGCCACCCAGGATAACCCGGGTAGGAAGGGTTAGCCACTCAGGATAACCCGGGGTAGGAAGGGTTAGCCACCCAAGATAACCCAAGAATACACACACGTACACACACACACACACACACACACACACACACACGCATGACGGGGCCAGAGGGTACGAAGGCGGGGCCAGGAGCTGCGAATCGACCCCTGCAATCACAAATAGGTAAGCACACACACACACACACACACACACACACACACACACACACACAAATTAGGCAGGTTTTTATCGACAAGTGTCTTTGACAACTGGTAACTAGGCAACTAACACAAACACAAGCTGGAAGGAACAAGAAATGTAAAAAATACTTGAATATTTGAAATATTTGAAATGAGAGAGAGAGAGAGAGAGAGAGAGAGAGAGAGAGAGAGAGAGAGAGAGAGAGAGAGAGAGAGAGAGAGAGAGAGAGAGAGAGAGAGAGAGAGAACGTGTAATATGTATAACAATGTTTTTGTGCTATCATATATATCTCTAAATATGGATATATGTTATTAGTCTCTTTTGTTCTCTGATATACCAGTATTGTCGAACAACCAGAAACACACACACACCACACACACCAAATATCTATCAACAAGTGCCTTTGAAAACAGGTAGCAACTACTACTACTCCCCCCACACACACGGAGCTGTGACTCGAACCCTGTAACCACCTATACGCGAGTACACACTTGTATACCTGGAGGGTGACCCAGGGCTCAGCGCCCCCTCCTGCAGTGCTACACAGAGCACACAAACACAGGGTCCTAAGTGTTACTTAACACTCACACACCTGAACTCAGGTACCCAGGTCATATCTGACACCAGCGAAGCTTACCTGTCATCGTAAGAAATGTAATTACTCCTGAGATGTTAATGTTGCTGTTGTATATTTCCACTTCTCTGAACGGAACCAGGCCTTTTTAGCCAGTAGGTCTGTTGTCATGTGGGATAACGATGAAGGTGTCCTGGTAGAAAGTTCTGTTAGGTTGCAGAAGCAGTTGTTCCGGTTGAAGTCGTTGGATGGTTGATAATTGTAAGAAAGTATGACTTCCAGTAAGGGACGCCATAAGGTTCAATCCTCTGCAGGGGCATAAGTAATTCCTGACAACGATTACAACCAATTACAAACCAATTACAAATAATTACAAACCAATTACAACCTATTACAAACCAATTACAACCTATTACAAACCAATTACAACCAATTACAAACCAATCACAACTAATTACAAACCAATTACAACCAATCACAACTAATTACAAACCAATTACAACTAATTACAAACCAATTACAACCAATTACAAACCAATTACAACTAATTACAAACCAATTACAAACCAATTACAAACCAATTACAACTAATTACAAACCAATTACAACCAATTACAAACCAATTACAACTAATTACAAACCAATTACAACCAATTACAAACATTCAGAGATCTCCAAACACGTATCTCAGAACACCAATACGCAAGCAGAACGGACGATATAAGGAATGTTTGTATTCTACACAGACATTCCACAACCATTTAATACTCTACATACTAAGGTGCTCTCTGCATGCACACGTACATGTCACCCATCACTGTACAATATACTGAAAGAATCTTTAATCTTTTAACTACAGAGACGCAAGACTCAGTGGCAGGGGAGACAACATTGTGTAGCAGGATCTTGCGATCATCGGTTAGGGAACCTCCTCGTTATCCTACACAAACCTACTGGCCCATTCCATGCAGGTCCTTCCTTCTCAAATCCACCCTCTTCCCTACTTCCTGCACCTGACTTCATGGTAGGTAGGTACTGGGCTTGTTAGGAAACAGTACAAGTGTTTCCTGACGTGGGTCTTATGATGATCCACAGCTGGAGCTTTTGGTCATCTGACCGAGGCCTTCCACTGGCTTACCGGTCCAGCCCCTTTTAAAACTATGGTTATGATTATAACCATTTTACATGTAATCTATACCCGATTTCATGTCACCATGTTCCCTATATATATATACTCAGGTAGATCTGTTTGTGACTTGATTAAGTCGACTGTGTGGGCGAAACGCTGTCAATAAAAGATCTCATTATAGTATATTTTGTGTGTATTTTCCTAACGTAGACAGGCTAATAATGCAGCGACAATTAAGCGAATAATTTTTTCAGGATAAGTACCCCATATTACGAGCGCAGGTGTCGAAAACGTCCAAAGATTTGCAGCCAAACTAGTACCAGAAATGACATGTTCTGTGAGGAGAGATGAAGTGAATCTGACAGCTTCGGATTGAGAGGACAAGGGAAGACACGATTACAACGTCAAAGATTCTTAAAAGGAACTGACAGGGCTGAGCAGGATCAAGACGACACAGGTGGAAGCTGGAGACGCAGATGGACCACAGGGATGTCAGGAAGTATTTCTTTAGCATCAAGGGTGGTTGACAAGTGGAATAACTCGGATGAGGCAGTGGTGGAGGCAAACTTGATACACAGCTTCAAGAGTAGGTATCATAAGGCCCAAGAGGTCAGTGATGCCGATCAAGGTCGTCCAGGAGGCTGGGCCAGGAGCTGAGATCAACATCTACAAACACAACTCAGTGAGTACAACTTTGGTATATATACTCTGCGAGATGTAATTCTCTAGGAATATATACACCGAGAAATACAACTCTCAATGTATATACCCTCAGAGATACAACTCACGATGTATACACCCTGAGATACAACTCCCTGTAAACATATATACCACTTCAAAGGTACTCCAGGTATAGGTAGGTATATACACTGCTCACCTCACTAACACACACTAGTGACTGCTGGGGGACGCTAGGCGACCCAGCCTACTGATACACTTGTACCATTTCTAGGTTTCCAGATGCCATTAAATCCTTATTTTCTACCATATTACACCAGTTTAACACTATTTCTTCAACACAGCTTAGCATTCTCAACCGTATTACACCAGTTTAACACATTCAACCCTTATTTTCAACCATATTAAACCAATTTAACACATTCAACCCTTATTTTCAACCATATTAAACCAATTTAACACATTCAACCCTTATTTTCAACCATATTAAACCAATTTAACACATTCAACCCTTATTTTCAACCATATTAAACCAATTTAACACATTCAACCCTTATTTTCAACCATATTAAACCAATTTAACACATTCAACCCTTATTTTCAACCATATTCCACCAATTTAACGCCATTAAACCCTCAATGTCTTTCCAATTTAACAACGTGGTTTAACGCCCCTCCTTTCACCTTATTTTTTTCTGCTAATTGTGTACAAGGTTGCCAAAAATTTGGGAAATTGGGGTGGATAATTGAATTGTAAGACTAGGCGGTAGGTTACTAGGTATTTTAAATTGGTAAATAGTACGGGGAATTGGTCTTAAATGGTACACTGTTTTGATGGTTTCTATAGTCAAGGATTTGCCCCTTCAGTCGTGTGTGCTGTCTGTTGTGGTGTCTGTTGTGCTGTCTGTTGTGCTGTCTGTTGTGGTCTGTTGTGATGTCTGTTGTGCTGTCTGTTGTGCTGTCTATTGTGCTGTCTGTTGTGCTGTCTGTTGTGATGTCTGTTGTGGTGTCTGTTGTGCTGTCTGTTGTGGTGTTGTTGTGCTGTCTGTTGTGCTGTCTGTTGTGCTGTCTGTTGTGATGTCTGTTGTGCTGTCTTTTTGTGATGTCTGTTGTGCTGTTGTTGTGCTGTTTTGTGTGATGTCTGTGTGATGTCTGTTGTGGTGTCTGTTGTGCTGTCTGTTTGTTATATGTTGTGCTGTCTGTTGTGCTGTCTATTGTGCTGTATGTTGTGCTGTCTGTTGTGCCGTCTGTTGTGCTGTCTATTGTGCTGTCTGTTGTGCTGTCTGTTGTGGTGTTTTTGGGGTGTTTTGTGTGATGTTTTTGTGGTGTCTGTTGTGGTGTCTGTTGTGCTGTCTGTTGTGCTGTCTATTGTGCTGTCTGTTGTGCTGTCTGTTGTGCGGTTGTTGTGCTGTCTATTGTGATGTCTGTTGTGCTGTCTGTTGTGGTGTCTGTTGTGCTGTTTTGTGTGATGTATGTTGTGGTGTCTTTTGGGGGTGTCTGTTGTGCTGTCTGTTTTTGCTGTCTGTTGTGGTGTCTGTTGTGCTGTCTGTTGTGCTGTCTGTTGTGCTGTCTGTTGTTTTTGTCTTTTTGTGATGTCTGTTGTGCTGTCTATTGTGATGTCTGTTGTGCTGTCTGTTGGGGCTGTCTGTTGTGCTGTTTTGTGTGATGTCTGTTGTGATGTCTGTTGTGATGTCTGTTGTGCTGTCTATTGTGATGTCTGTTGTGCTGTCTGTTGTGCTGTCTGTTGTGCTGTCTGTTGTGCTGTCTATTGTGATGTTGTTGTGGTGTCTGTTGTGCTTGTCTGTTGTGCTGTCTGTTGTGCTGTTTTGTGGGGATGTTGTTGTGATGTTGTTGTGGTGTCTGTTGTGCTGTCTGTTGTCTTATGTTGTGCTGTCTGTTGTGTTGTGCTGTCTGTTGTGCCGTCTGTTGTGCTGTCTATTGTGCTGTTGTTGTGCTGTCTGTTGTGCTGTCTGTTGGGCTGTCTGTTGTCTGTTGTGCTGTCTGTTGTGCTGTCTGTTGTGCTGTCTGTTGTGCTTTGTTGTGTTGTTCTGTTGTGTTGTGCTGTCTGTTGTGCTGTCTGTTTTTTGGCTGTCTGTTGTGCTGTCTGTTGTGCTGTCTGTTGTGTTGTGCTGTCTGTTGTGCTGTCTATTGTGCTGTCTGTTGTGCTGTCTGTTGTGCTGTCTGTTGTGTTGTGCTGTCTGTCGTGCTGTCTGTTGTGCTGTCTGTTGTGTGTCTGTTGTGCTGTCTGTTGTGTTGTGCTGTCTGTTGTGCTGTTATTGTGCTGTCTGTTGTGCTGTCTGTTGTGTGTTTGTGTGATGTATGTTGTGGTTTTCTGTTGTGCTGTCTATTGTCGTCTGTTGTGCTGTCGTGCTGTCTGTTGTGCTGTCTGTTGTGATGTTGTTGTGCTGTCTCTTTGGGCTGTCGTGCTGTCTGTTGTGATGTCTGTTGTGATGTCTGTTGTGCTGTCTGTTGTGCTGCTATTTGTGATGTCTGTTGTGCTGTCTAATGTGCTGTCTATTGTGTTGTTAATGTGCTGTCTAATGTGCTGTCTTTTGGGTGCTGTCTATTATACCGTATGTTGTGATGTCTATTGTGCTATCTGTTGTGCTGTCTAATGTGTTGTCTAATGTGCTGTCTATTGTGTTGTCTAATGTGCTGTCTATTGTGCTGTCTAATGTGCTGTCTATTGTGCTGTCTATTGTGATGTCTATTGTGCTGTTACTGTGCTGTCTATTATACCGTATGTTGTGATGTCTATTATGCTGTCTACTGTGCTGTCTATTATACCGTATGTTGTGATGTCTATTATGCTCTCTACTGTGCTGTCTATTATACCGTATGTTGTGATGTCTATTGTGCTGTCTACTGTGCTGTCTATTATACCGTATGTTGTGATGTCTATTATGCTGTCTATTGCGCTGTCTATTATACCGCATGTTGTGATGTCTTTTATGCTGTCTACTGTGCTGTCTATTATGATAATATTGGTGGTCCGAAGGTCCTCTTCCCCGGGATGCCACCCGTACTAGTTTGCTAACACCCAGGTACCTGCTTATTGATAGATGAACATGGACAGCAGGTGTAAGGTGTCTAACACCCAGGTACCTGCTTACTGCTAGGTGAAGTGGCAACAGGTGTAAGGTGACTAACACCCAGGTACCTACTTACTGCTACGAATACATGTGTAAGTAGACTAACTCTCAGGTACCTACTTACTGCTAGGAATACAAGTGCAAGTAGACTAACACCAAGGTGCCTACTTACTGCTAGATGAACAGGGACAGCAGGTGTAAGGAAACACGCCCAATATTTCCACCCGTGCCGGGGATTGAACCCCGGACACTCAGTGTACTGGGCAGGTGCGCTGTCAACCAAGTCAAGGTGACTTATGTAGGAATGAATCCAGGATAACTTAACGCTGCTAAACTGATAGAGGAGCAAGCCTAAGTAATAAAGTGAGGGTTTAGAGCTTCAGAAGAATTCAAAATGAAGCTGATGTCCTCTATAATAACGAAGTCAGGATATTATAGGTGGCTTAAGCCAGGATATTATTCTAGGTGGCTTAAGTCAGGATATTATTCTAGGTGGCTTAAGTCAGGATATTATTCTAGTTGGCTTAAGTCAGGATATTATTCTAGGTGGCTTAAGTCAGGATATTATTCTAGGTGGCTTAAGTCAGGATATTATTCTAGGTGGCTTAAGTCAGGATATTATTCTAGGTGGCTTAAGTCAGGATATTATTCTAGGTGGCTTAAGCCAGGATATTATTCTAGGTGGCTTAAGCCAGGATATTATTCTAGGTGGCTTAAGTCAGGATATTGTTCTAGGTGGCTTAAGTCAGGATATTATTCTAGGTGGCTTAAGTCATTATATTATAGGTGGCTTAAGCCAGGATATTATTCTAGGTGGCTTAAGTCAGGATATTATTCTAGGGGGCTTAAGCCAGGATATTATTCTAGGGAGCTTAAGCCAGGATATTATTCTAGGTGGCTTAAGTCAGGATATTATTCTATGGGGCTTAAATCAGGATATTATTCTAGGGGCTTAAGCCAGGATATTATTCTAGGGGCTTAAGCCAGGATATTATTCTAGGGGCTTAAGCCAGGATATTCTAGGGGGCTTAAGCCAGGATATTATTCTAGGGAGCTTAAGCCAGGATATTATTCTAGGGGGCTTAAGCCAGGATATTATTCTAGGGGGCTTAAGCCAGGATATTATTCTATTGGGCTTAAGCCAGGATATTATTCTAGGGGGCTTAAGCCAGGATATTATTCTAGGGGGCTTAAGACAGGATATTATTCTAGGGGGCTTAAGCCAGGATATTATTCTAGGGGGCTTAAGCCAGGATATTATTCTGGGGGGCTTAACCCAAAGATATTATTCTAGGGGCTTAAGCCAGGATATTATTCTAGGGGGCTTAAGCCAGGATATTATTCTAGGGGGCTTAAGCCAGGATATTATTCTAGGGGGCTTAAGCCAGGATATTATTCTATGGGGCTTAAACCAGGATATTATTCTAGGGGCTTAAGCCAGGATATTATTCTAGGGGGCTTAAGCCAGGATATTATTCTAGGGGGCTTAAAATGATAAGATGCTGACTAAAATCAAGGAAATCGTCTTTTATAAGTATTATTTAGAGTGAATATGAAGGATCTCACGATTTCACCAGTGGAAAGGTGAGTGTGGCTCCCTCATTACGCAGTGGAACATTATTAGTGGGTGGGAAAATACTCCAGTGTTGACGCGCCTGCGCACTAGCACCCGTCACCCCTGGCGGGTTGCCAACACTCGCGACACTTCCACTGGTATATAACCATTGTCAGTGTGTACTGTGTTATTTCTCGCTCCTTTGTGCCCCCTCTCACGCTCTTGGGTTTAATATTTGAGTTGATTGAGGGAAGAGAGCAGTAAATAAGGTATGGAGGAACAATGAGTAACCCCGCCTGGGGTAAAGCACGGGGAAGTTGGTACCTGTGACGTCAGGGATCAGCCCTGGAGCGTTCACGATATTATAAAAATTATTACTTTTTATTATTTTTTCTATAACTTAACTCCCACAGTAAAGTTTTTCCTCTTATTTACGCTATATCTCAGTATGTCTCGTGTTGTTTTAAAATAGCGACTCAGAGGAGTGTGTCATTATAAAACTTTGGAGATTATTAGTTTTGTTCGTTTTCGAACGCCTCACATGTTGCTTCGAAAACGTAAACAAAAGCTAAGGTGAGTGGCAGCTCAACATCCTCTCTGTTGTTTTACCTGTGACTTTGATGGTGTGAGGCGCCTGTGCTTGCTGACTAATGATCTTCAGCACATAATTGATGTTCCTGGGAAGAAATATTAGTGTGTAGTCATGGCTTTAACCCCTAAATGAGAGCTGACTGCGGGTCTTTACACCTTCAAGTGTTGCTAATGCTGAGCCTTTTTTCACGAAAGGGACATTTTTTTAGGGCTGTTAACTCAGGGTCACTGACGAATGGCTTATTTCCATTGGGGTTCTCCTTTGGTATGCGAATTGCAACAGTTGATCGGCACCTCAGTACCCAGGTACCTATTTACTGCTAGGTGACCTTCCAAGGGGGAGGGGGGGGGACCGTCAGTTTCCCAGATGCTATATGACCCCCTACTAGTTTAGCACTTACTCGTGTGTATAATAATGCTAAGTGGATGGGGCAGTTGGTGCATTATGTCTTTGTATTAATATTGGTAGAATTACTGACAATATGTTAGGTAAAAGGACACAAGTGTAACTAATGTAACATTTTATTGTGGCAACGTTTCGCTCTCCAGGCATGATAAAGCTCCTGGAGAGCAAAACGTTGCCACAATAAAATGTCACATTAGTTGCACTTGTGTCCTTTTTGCCTAACGTATTATATCTTTCTTTAAGGGCAAATCTTCGACAAGCAACTAGTTGCCAGAGTACAAACATATTAAACCATTGCTAAATGTGTTTCATATTTCCATTTGGCTATTTGTGCTTTAGTTTACTTGTTTTTAAATTTATCTAACCAGTTCTACCCTAACCACAGCACTGTATGACCCTTAAGTGTTTAGCATTTTATGAGTTTATGAGTGTAATAATCTGTCCTATCCTAGCCTAATGTATTAACTGGTTGCTACCCCTCCTGTCGTGTCAATGTACTTTAATGAACTGTTCATGCATGGTTGCTGGCTAATAAACGCTTCATTTCTTTAATAAGTGGCACAAGTATTTTGACGATAAAGATGTTTCACAGATACCAAAAAACTAAGTTCATTTAGGTACTGTGTCCCTTTCACAGTAAATGGAAGATCAAGCCTCCACCACTCATTCCACCTCATAGCCCACATGGGTCCCCTCAAGGGAGGTTCCTTGATACTGGTGAGGGGCTCTTGATCTAGGGAATTGGATTTGTGCTCCAGTTCCTTGAATTAAGCCTGGATACCTTCCATCCCCTCCCCCACAGGTGCTGTATAATCCTATGGGTTTAGTGCTTCCCCATGATTAAAATAATAATAACCCAGTGGGTATCCAGTGAAATGACAGTTTTCAAATTACCATTGTTAGTAAGTTATCCAGGTGGCAGGTGTTCAGTAATTTGTTAAAATATATCCACAAGTTATCCAATATTAGTGGGTTATCCAGGTGGCAGGTGTTCAGTAATTTGTTAAAATATAACCACAAGTTACCCAACAATATAATTAAGGTTTATTTTGGTTAAAGTTAGTGCTCTCTGCTAATTTTTAATATCAGGTAACTTCTCTTGACAGATCAGCGACTTGGGAATATCAGTGAGATGCTGAAAAAGCTGTTTTCAACGTACATTAGGCAAAAAATGGAATTTGCAGCTGCTGTGTGGTGTCAGCACCTTAAAGCATGTTAATTAGACATAAGTGCAAAGAGGAGTTGGAAAATGGACCCTAGAGCTAGATAAAAGACTGAAAACACTAAAGGTGCTAACTGATAGGAGGAAAAGAGGAGATATGATAACAACATATAAGATGTGAAAGAATAGATAAAGAAGTTTAGTATCTTCAATGGAGAGACTGTAACTAGAGGCCACAGATATAAATTAAGGACTTGAGTCCTGGAGGTAGGTAGTAGAGTGCCTGTCTGTGCTCTGAAGAAGGTGATAGATATATGTTACATTTTTAATTGTAGTGTCTGTGCACCTCTAGGAAGACAGTGATGGAGTGAGTGATGATGAAAGTGTTTCTTATATTCCAGGTCACCCTTCCTCGGTGGGAAACAGCTGATGTGTTAATAAAATAAAAAATAAATAAAATTTTAGAGGAATGAATAAATTGAAAGAGGAGGTTGTTAGTGTTACAGCTATATGATATTTTAAAAAATTATTTGATAAACACAAAAACTTGACACACTTTAATAGAAAGCCATGACATGCAAAATTCTAACCAATAGTTAGTGAGCATTACATGTATTGCGTATAGTGTTATAGTGATACCGTACAGGCAGTGTAGTACATGTCGGCTAGAATGTTTGGGCCAAATATCTTTTGCGCTGGAACTATATTTATATTTTAATAATGGGAATCTTGAAAAAATTGACCATACTTAGTGTCTCGTAAACCATTTACTTGAACCAATTTATTCCACCGAGCAAGTTTGCTGTGTACATCCCGGGAGGTACATAACTATCTAGTATGAGTAACAGAGACCCTTGTTAAACCTCTTGCTCTCAGACTAGCTTTAAAAGTTGCATTAGAAATGTTACAGTTGAATGGGTGATCTGCAGATCATGGTGTTGTACTTCTCTGAAAGACAGCTGGGAGGCTAGTGGTGGTAAATTTTCATTTGGTTATCTACCTTGGTGAGAAGCAGTCCATATGTTTAACAAAGATGCTTAATTTCTGTCATTACTCTTAATTATTTTATATTTTACTAGTGATTTTATCACTTAGGCCTTTACATTATGCATAATTCTGCATTTTCACTTAGATTTTTGTCTGGGAATATACACAGCGACAATACTGTATTTTACTATTGTAGAAGAATGGCTCAGTAAATATTATGTTTTATATATCTGTGTCATAACATAATGCACTCTTTGTGGTTTCTTTAATTTTGAAAATGTCAAGAAAGTTTTGTACTATACTTTTGTATGTAGATTATTAATTCACTTAGTGCATGCTTAGGGAAACAAAAGGAAAATGCTGTTAAATAATAAATGTTTTTCTTTTTCTTTTCAGAGAGAAAAATGTGAGAAGTTGGCAACATTATTTAATTTTTATTTAGTTTGTTGTGTTCATTAAGTTTGATTTTTTTTTTTATATAACTTAAATAAAATGAAGAAAGTTATCATCCCAGCTAATGGTAAAAGTATGCCACCTCTTGTAATGGTGGGGCCAGCAGAGGCAGCAAAGTCTCTGCCTACACATGTCCAGCCTATACTACTAAAGACATTTAAAGCACCAGCACAAGCCAGTCAGCCAAAGCTCAATACTCAGTCCATGGTTTTGAAAATGAATCCGCCAAACTCAAATAATGCCTCAAACATGTGCTTCATGCAGACCTCGGTTGGAAAGAAAGTTTTGCTGACCAATGTAAATACTTCTACACCCTCAAACAAAGTTTTATTAGTTCCCAAAACTAATGCTCCACCTGTCATATCGTCATCAGCTGCCACTCCACCGCAGATCAGTCCAGTGGCTTCTGCAAATGCTCCTTGCACAGTTGTTTTCCAGCCCTCATCATCAACTGTAGCATCTCCAGGGATAGCAGTGCCAACAAGCCAGCCCATAATGTTGAAAGTTTCTGGCTTGGCTCCACTTGTAGTTCAGCATACCCCCCTGGCACCAGTAGTGAGCATTAAACATGAGCCAGGAATAGAAGACTCACAAATGATAACTGTTATCAGCAATTCCACCACTACACCCACTACCACTACTACTGTAACCCAGCCTATCACATCCATATCCCCTAATTCTAGCCCCTTTGTGATTTTAAAGGGCACAACACTTTTAAGGTAGTAGGGAAGCCCGTCCCTGTAAAGCTCAATCCCCGATTTCAGAAGATAGCACCAAAAGCTCAATTTTTTACTGGGCCATTCTCACAACCACTTCATTTGCCCATTCTCAAGAAAGTTGACACTACACAAAATGTGCAATCTTCTCCTTCTACCAAAAATGGAATGTCAAGTAAACCACCTGCTTATTTAAATATTCAGGTCAAGGATGAGCCTCAAGAGGCAGCATCCGGTGAAGCTATTACTCTAGATGGTGTGCACATCAAGGAGGAGAGACTAGACCTGCAGTCAGAACAGGAGGCAACTTTCCCGGAGGCAACTGAGGATGCCTCTGGTGTCAATTCCATCTTAGATGTCAGAATCAAAGAGGAACCAAAGGATGAGCAGTGTAAGTCACTGATTTTGATTTGTACAAGCATGAAGAATGTGTGTGGAGAATGCAGATGCTCCTCAACTAACGATGTGGTTACATTCCAAGGAACCCATCATAAGTCAAAAATATTGTAAGTCAAATATGCTAAATAAATAAGTAAATAAATAACTGACACTGAATAACTAAATAGCAAATAATTACTGTAACTAAATGCCAATATTAAAATTTAAAAAATGCATACAAGTTTCAGACTTGCCACTTTCATGCTGGGTGATTATCTTAAGTTTCGTCTCCAAAGTATAATTGCTTTTGCACCGTCGTAAAGTCGAAATATCATAAGTAAGACCATCGTAAGTTGAAGAGTATCTGTATAAACCAAAACAGCTACAATACAATAATGTCAGGAATACATATTTCTGATCTTAGTCTCTCCTTGGTATTCTATTCTGCTCCATATTCTTTTCATCTCACATCATACACGATTTACAGCGCAACACACTTCATTTCCTAATAATTTTTCTGCAAGTATTTTAAGTTAATGACGAGATTCAGTGAGTCAAGATTGGAAAGTGGTGTCTGTGCCCTATCAAACAACCAGCTAGGATAGCAGTTAAGCTATTTTAAAAATAGCCAGACTTCTGTATTGCACAAGAGATTGTTCTCCATCAAGTATATTCTTTCCCAAACTAAGTGGGGTGGAATGTGAATACCAGTCTCACAGGTAACTTGAGAATGTTCATTTATCTTCATAAAATGTCAGGCTATGAGTGAATGCTTTGTTTACTCATTGCAAATGCAGTATGTACTCAGATGAGCCATAAAGTAATTATCTATCTGTAATTACTTGTTTGTAGCTACAGGACCAGGACTATTCTTATAATAATAATCTTTCTCTACAAAGTATATGATAAAAATGATACAGACCTAGCTTACATTGGCAATATTTTAGAAGTCCCTAATTATTGAGAGCATTTCAGGCAGCCAAGGTTAATGCTTATCCCCAGATGCAACCCACAACGTCAGTAGCACCAGTACTATTATTACAAATTGAACAGTTGGCAACAAGGGTAATGGTACATGTCCATCTTTCAACCTAGTGCTGAGGAGTAGTATCCTGGACCCTCATGGTAACTGAGAATTTCTATAACATCCATATAAATGTTTTTTATCATAATTTTTCTTTTCTTTATTGTAGCACCTACATTTCTCTATGTTATCCAGCTTTACCAATTCTATAAAGAATTCCATTTTCCTTGGCTCGACTTTTTTTGTATTTATGTATGGCTTTTTTCCCTATTGAACTTTGCAAAAAATTACTTATCTAGTCTTTTATATTTTTAAAACTTTAGATGCAGGTTCAGAGAACCGACATGTTGAAATTAGACCCACGTGCAACCTTGGCTATCTTTAATGAGCTTCTACAGTCCATACAATAGGAGAATCTTGAGAACAGGTGTAAGGAAATGGGTAACCAGTCCCTCAGCCTTGAGTCGAGTGGTCAGGTCCATCATTTGAATGAATACGGCATATGACAGAAGGAGCTTATTTACATGTCATGAGATTGCACAGTTTCTGATGGTGTCACATTTGTTCAATGTAGTAAGTAGGTCATCCAAGGTTAGGCAAGCGAAAAAAATTCCCAATATTAAGTTCCCTTGCTATAGTTTTTTAGTGTTTGACAGGATGTATTGAACTGTTCAGATAACCGACAATGTTGATAATTTAATTCATTTAACTCTTGGGTATCTTTTAGGAACGATTTGAAACACAGTGGCTTCATCAGGTGATACAAAGAGAGATCTTGAAATAACAGGAGGAAAATGAGAGAACAGCCAAAATTGAGTCGATGTGGTCAGTCCATCAATCATGATGAATACCAAACATGAAGAAAGCAATGAGAGGAAGCTTATAAACCATAGGCAGGAGAGGTGCAGCAGTTGTAGATGGTGTCACATTTGTTCAATGTGGAAGTAGGTCGTGCCCAAGGGCACGAATCCCCCCCAAAACTTCCATGCCACCAAGAAACAGCCTCCGAAGTGCAAGTCCCCTCAAATCCAACCTCACTATGTGAGTAGTCCGTGCACAGGGCTACGCCTACTTCCACATTGAACAAATGTGACACCATCTACAACTGCTGCACCTCTCCTGCCTATGGTTTATAAGCTCCTTCTCCTCTCATATGCTGTATTCTATTCAAGATTGATGGACTGACCACATCGACTCAAGGTTGAGGGACTGATTACCTCATTTTCCTCCTGTTCTTCAAGATTCTCCTTTGTATGGACTGATGAAGCCACTGTGTGGCGAAACGTTTCCTCAATAAAGATACCCAAGAGCTGCACATGTGTCTAATTGATCAACATTTATAACTTCTTTTTTTTTTAATGAACTGGCAATATCCCACCAAGGCAGGGTGACCTGAATAGAAAAACGAGTTTTTCTTTTTAAATTTAGCAATTTATGCAGGAGAAGGGGTTACCAGCCCCTTGCTCCTGGCATTTTACTTGCCTCTTATGACACGCATGGCTTATGGAAGAAAAATTCTGTTCCACTTCCCCATGTTGTTATAATATCACCTCTTCTCTTCCTATCAGCCACATGGCATCTTCAGTGTTTCTAGCCTTTTATCATCATAGCTCATATTTTTTTTTTAGCCCTGGTATCTTTTGTAGGCCCTCTTTTGACTTTTTCTATTTGATCCACATGCTTTTTACATGTAGACACCACACACCAGTGGCATTATGTGATGATTTTTTTATTAATACATTCTCTCCTCACTTAATGACAGAGTTCTGTTCTTAAGACCACATTGGTAAACGAATTCATTGCTAAGGGAGGAGCATGTTACAATGGTGGTGGGTTTGTGTCAACCATCTTTGATATTGTTTTAATGTCACCTTTGCACCATTTAAAACAATTCTGGTATATTTTTGAATTTTTATACAGTAGTGTACTGTATATTGTAATAAACAGAATAGAGGAAATCAGCTCTAATATACATTACGTATTTAGGTATGCATGCTGGTCAGAGAGCCCATCGTAAGTCCGAGTTGTTGGTAAATGAGTACGCGCTAAGTGAGGAGAGGCTATAATAAGTTCTAGGATACCTTTTCTTTTATGTTACTCCCAAAATTATGCTACTTGTGTTATCTGATTTTGCTTTCTTCAGTTTCCATTACATTGGCTTTACCTTAGATTCCATCATCCATCACTCCACTCAGTTTATCCAAGTCATCTTGTAAACTTTTAGTTCTTTATTATTTGTTTTGTGCAATATTTTTGCATCATCTGCAAATGTATTCATGTAATCTACTATTCCTTCTGGGAAGTCTCATATATATATAAATAAAAATATATGGGCAAGTGCCCCAAAGATCTACATCTTTGGGGCACACTGTTTGGAACATTTTCCCAAAAGGACAGTTTTCCTTGTGTGACAGTTTGCCTTGTCCTCTCAAACAGAAACCCTCCTGTCCATTTTAATAATTTGCCTTGAATTCCTCATATATTTTGAAGTTAACAAATTTGTCATTCAGGGGGAAACTAGCAAAAGCTGTCTTAATATCTAGACAAATGTGATCTCCCCATATATTTTTTCTTGTGTAAACAGAGGCTTTGCTGGTGTACCTACCATCCGACTTATGACCGAGTTCGGTTCCAAGAAACCGGTTGTAAGTCGAAATGGTCATAAGTCGAACTTTACTGCTGAACATCAACAAAACATTTTTGTAATGACTTTATTTTATTGTTTTATTTTGGTATTTCATGTTTTACTTTACTTTTTATGTTAGTACTGTATTTTATATTGTAAGGTTTAGGATAAACACTGTATACAACACAAATAGTTGTTTATTTCTCAGAAATTTGGCATAAAAAACACGGTCGTAAGTCGAGTGGCCATAAGTCGACCAGGTCGTAAGTCAGATGGTAGGTGTATTTCCTTTACAAGTGGGCCCCACTTATACAGCAGGTTAGCTTCTGGGCTTCTGCTGTATAGCAAAAATTGCTGTAAAGTGAAACAGCTCTTTTTTTTTTTTTTTTTTTTTCTATTAAATGAGCAATGGAGCTAGGCCTAAAAAATGTATATGCAGTACGCACAGTACATACATTAAAATATTTTCATCTTTAGCTTATAGTGAGTGGTGAATCTATTTATTGAAGGAAGTCTGAATAAATGAAGAATGGGTATATTTGAAAACTGCTGCATTAATGAATCACTGTAAAGCAGGGCCCGACTATATACGTTAAGGAACACCGTGAAACGTACTACTCTATTCCCTTCACCACACTGGGTAGAATTGTCCTTCTTTCTCTGATCAGCAGAGGATACATACATATACTTTGATGTGAAACTTTGTGAGGAATTTCTGTTTCTGTGTTTCATTCTAATTTCTCATTCTTTTTAAGTTTCATCTACCATGTCAGTTCTATCATTACCCCTCCTTCCAACCTTTCCAGGGATGGTTCCTCCCTCTCCCTTCTATCTTCCACCCTAGATTTATTCACCCTCTTCTTCATTCTGCCCTTCTCCACCCTCTTTACATGCCCAAACCAACCTCCACAACCTCTGCTCAGACCTTGGTGGGAGACGGCTGGTGTGTTAAAAACATAATACAGGCATTCCTCGCTTAATGACAGAGTTCCGTTCTGCGTACACTTTCAAGAACACACCAGCTAACTTCTTTACAGTGAACTTTTTTTTGCACTTCTTTATTCTTTTCTCTTCTTCCTCTGCCAAGTGCTGTTGCACTTTCAACTCTATTAAATCTTTGTTAACTCTCCCTTGGCCAAAGTTCTTGTACAGCGTACAATACAGACTTGCCAAAAAGCTGGTCATAAGTCCATGCGGTCGTTAAACAGGTAGGTCGTTAAGTGAGGAGTGTGTCTTCTTAACAGTACCTACAGTGAATTCTTTGGAAAAGATCTTTGTTTATACACATTTAGTTAATGTTAAAATTGCAACTTGCACATCATATTACATTAAGAACAGCTAATTTTGTCATATTTAATTTGTCTTTTGTGTAATTTCATTTAAAATTTAGAAATTCATTTCAGCTTAATTTGTCCTTGTATTTAAACAGGTGAATTGTTGGCCAAAGATGAGCAGTTGAGACAAGTGCTGGAAGTGACAAACAACAACATCAAAGTGACTCCTCAACCCAAGTTCTTCATCCGGACATCCGAGGGAAAACTGGTATCTATTTCACCTGAGGAAGCAGAAGCTCTGGGCTTAGATCACAAAGATAAGGTAGAAAATAACCAGAAAAAGCTTTTGAATGCACTCTCTTCTATTAAGAATTTTACATTTCAGAACACTTTTGAACAGCAGGATTTGAATAAAAAGCCAGAAGCTGTTGCTCTCATCCCAGATGACGTCAACGTTAAAGATTATGTCAACTGTCATGTTCCGCCAGCTGCAGAAAAAACAGCTACTCTAATGAAGAACCTGCATAACAAGAGTCTTCGAACAAATGCCAAGTATGTAATTGCTCCTAAGAGCAATACAACAATAATTGGAGAATACACAGTATCAGAACGGCGTTTCCTCCGAATCCGTATTGGAACTGAACGAGACATTTGTGACATTCCTATAACCCCTCTCAACGCTTATCAGTGTCCTTTTTGCACTAGAAACTTCAAAACTAAGGATCACCTAATTTCCCACATACGAGTGCATACAGGTGAAAGACCATATCCCTGTGATGTATGTGGAAAACGGTATCGTCAGAGAATTGACATTACTCGTCACATGCGCATTCACACTGGTGAAAAGCCGTTTACTTGTGGATTGTGCAATGCCTCTTTTAATCAGAAGTCTAATTTACGATCTCACATGAGGATTCATACAGGTGAGCGCCCTGTTCAGTGTAGAGTATGTGGGAAGGGATTTTCACGTAATACTCACCTAAAACAGCACATGAAGCTTCATACTGGGGAGAAACCATTCCAGTGTAGTGTGTGCTTCCGCCCATTTCGCTTCAAGTCTGGGCTTCAAGCTCATGAGCGCATTCATTCAGGGTTAAAACCTTATGCATGTAGCTTATGTGGCAGATCATTTACTCAAATAGTAGGACTGATTCGTCATGAGCGCACACACACTGCTGAGAAACCATTCCGCTGCCAGAGTTGTGGGAAGTCATTCAATAGTCGTGATATTCTGAAAGCTCATGTTAAAAAACACACCAGTGAAAGACCCTATACCTGTGACTTGTGTGGAAAAACATTTACTGATCAGGCAGCATTGCGATGTCACCAAAAGAAATACCATACTAATATGTTACTGTGTGTAATATGTCTTAGGGAAGATTTTAAAGGATCGCATAGAGCTTAGAGAACATCTTCGTGCACATGAAAGAGAAAATTGGGAAGAAACTCCAGAAGGTGATCTTGTGCCAATCATACGACATGACAATTCTCAACATATTGTCAGCATTGATGACACAATGGAGAATTTAATGGACAGTGACGAAGATATAAATGTGGTAAATGATGTCATGGTTAAAGATGGTGCTGAAGAAATCCAAGTTGAGGTGGAACTTGATCCAGATGACCCAATGGAATCTGATGAGAATACTGTTGATGAGGAGGAGGAAGATGTGAGTGAGTATGAAGAACATGAACTGCAAATTGAAGAATCAGATCCTTTGGCTTAATCAGTGTATTTGCTTCCAAGGAAACTTTTAACTTGAAATGCTCACTTGCACGATCATCCTTGAAAAATTAGTGTTATTGGTATGGTGCATTGCGTTACACTTGCATCCATATTTTTTAAATATGTAAAGGTTCAGTTCAAAATTTAATTTGAATATTTTTATTAAATTATTGCATATTACATTGTTCGAAGCCCTGCGAATATTTTCAGTAGCTGGGTACTCTGTCTTTGCTTACTTTTAGTTACATGTATAGTGGTATCATGTTTCTTAACTGATATATAGTTGATTTTACTATTAATAGCTTTTAGCTTAAGAATGTCCTATGCATCCCTTCAGTGTAAAGATGGTAGCCAAGAAATTATATAACATGGGAACTCCTGTTACGTGTGCCTTACAGTGCCTTCTTGACTCAGTATGTTACATAATTTTTGTATTTTTTGTATTCTAAAAGTTATTGATAGTTGCAGTTATACAAGTATAATATAGATTTGTATTAGATGTTTTGTTACATGGCCAGAGTTAAAATGCATTTACAAAAGAAGTGTGTATTAGATCAGATTGTTCTAGAAATGTCACCGTCGGTAATTTCTCAATGATACTGAAATATGTTAGGGAGTGTAACATGAAAAACATTAATTGTTAGGTAGGGTTTTAAAGCACTTAACAAATGCTCCTTTCATTTTCATTTCCTAATACTGTATAGAATATTACTAGTTTTAGTTGACAATATGACAATTCCAGCAAGCACTTCAGAACTATTAACTAACATATAAACTTCAGTTACTTGTAACTTTAAAATTAGCCAGATTTCTCTTTCTAGATAAATCCTACATTCAGACTTGAATTAATAATGTGCTTATATAGTAAACAGATTGCACCAATTATCATTTATAGATGTAATAGAACTTATAACATAGCTTTATAAAAAATAAATTACTGTTGTGTGTCTAACACACTTAGAAATACAATGGACACTTCAACTGATTCAAATATTTAAAGGGAAAAAAGGTGAGTGGTGCGTTGAGGTATATGTGGAGTCAAAAAACGTTATCTATGGAGGCAAAGAAGGGAATGTATGAAAGTATAGTAGTACCAACACTCTTATATGGGTGTGAAGCTTGGGTTGTGAATGCTGCAGCGAGGAGGCGGTTGGAGGCAGTGGAGATGTCCTGTCTAAGGGCAATGTGTGGTGTAAATATTATGCAGAAAATTCGGAGTGTGGAAATTAGGAGAAGGTGTGGAGTTAATAAAAGCATTAGTCAGAGGGCAGAAGAGGGGTTGTTAAGGTGGTTTGGTTATTTAGAGAGAATGGATCAAAGTAGAATGACATGGAAAGCATATAAATCTATAGGCGAAGGAAGGAGGGGTAGGGGTCGTCCTCGAAAGGGTTGGAAAGAGGGGGTAAAGGAGGTTTTGTGGGCTAGGGGCTTGGACTTCCAGCAAGCGTGCATGAGCGTATTAGATAGGAGTGAATGGAGGCGAATGATACTTGGGACCTGACGATCTGTTGGAGTGTGAACAGGGTAATATTTAGTGAAGTGATTCAGGGAAACCGGTTATTTTCATATAGTCGGACTTGAGTCCTGGAAATGGGAAGTACAACGCCTGCACTTTAAAGGAGGGGTTTGGGATATTGGCAGTTTGGAGGGATATGTTGTGTATCTTTATACGTATATGCTTTTGAACTGTTGTATTCTGAGCACCTCTGCAAAAGCAGTGATAATGTGTGAGTGTGGTGAAAGTGTTGAATGATGATGAAAGTATTTTCTTTTTGGGGATTTTCTTTCTTTCTTTGGGTCACCCTGCCTCAGTGGGAGACGGCCGACTTGTTGAAAAAAAAAAAAAAAAGTAATTTAAGTCAGACTGATGGGTCTTGAAACTCATTGTCCAATATCTTTAATGGTACATAAAGGAGAATCTTGAAGTTATAGAAAAGTAACATTTATAATTACAGCAAGTCTGATAATTAAATTAGTTCTGGCTCATGTAATGACATTATTGATTATTTATTCTTATATTAGCACATTTATGGGGCATTGCTGTTATTTAGTTTTATTCCTTATATCACCTGTTATGCATAAAATTAAACTAGAGAAATGAGACTTGCTGATTGTGAAGAAAGAATGGTGTCACATTGATGATGGTAGATCTGCAGAAGTGTCATATGGCATATACATTAGATCTGCAGTAACATCATGCAGGGTATACTGTAGATGGGCAGTAGTGTCATGCAGAGTATGGTAGTTGTGCTTAAGGATATGCAAAACTCTTGCATAATACTGTCTTCCATATTTGCCAATATCTCTAATAAACATATTTTCATTATTAAATGGAAGTTAATATTTTTTTTTTGAGATTATTTGATGTACTTTTTCTAAACGTATTTTTGTATTGTGATGGATATTGCATGTGATGCAGTACATGCACAGTGAAATTACTTGCTAGGATATCTCTCAAGTTGTCAAGTATTTTTTCCAATTGTGCCTTGCATTTTACCATTTGGAAATAAACTCAACGAGCTAATTCATTTTTATTTTCCTCTTGTAAATGGGAGTAAATGGCTGCACAGTGTGCATTATATTAATACAGGTCGGCCATCACTGATCCAGCAGTCACTAATCCGGTCCCATCACTAATCCGGCACTAATTTCCTGGGGTCAACTCACCACTCTGCCTCTACTGTTTGGTGGTGCTACTTGCTGCATAAACACTGTTGGCATCACTTGCAAACACAGGCAAGTCATTCCAATTTGTTTTTGTCAATTGTTATAACCTGCTCACTTTCAGCTCCAGCCATGGTTCCAATGAATAAAGGAAATACTTTTTGTTGTGTAAAGCGCAAGCACCATACATTGTCCATAAAATATAATGTTGAACTTCTAAAAAAAAACTGACAGTGGTGTGTCTGTGAGAAGCATTTGTGAATTATACAGCATTGGCTCTCCCACAGTTTATGACATAAAGAAACAAAGAAAAATTACTCAATTTCTTTGCTAACAGTGATTCAAAGAAATGTGCGTAAAAGGAAAACAATGAAGGAAGGAGAAAGTTCAGAACTAGATCAAGTTCTGATGAAGTAGTTTAGGCTACATGTAAGTGAAGGTATTGAGCTGTCTGCAGATCTGGTGAAGGAACAAGCCAAAATTTTTCTTGAAGAACTAGGGCTAGATTATGGGTGTGATTATAGTGAAGGTTGGCCACAACGTTTCAAGGATCGACGTGGCTTAAAGTTTCGTGGAGCGTGTGGTAAGAAACATTTACCACATACACTGACTAATCCTGCTGTGAAGGATCTTGCATCAAGAATAGAGGAAGATAATGTTGGGAAATGGATGAATGATGTTTGTAAGTCCACAGCAACAAGCCAGTGGAGGAGAAAGCAGTGATGAAAATGAGGAAGATATAGCAGGAAGAGTCTACTGATAGATAAATTCACTTGATGTGCTGCCACCGTCATTATCAGTTCCTATCTCAGTCACCTTCCAGGATGAAGATGGGAATCCTGACACTCCTTCACCTCAAGACATGTAAATTTGCTTAGTTGTAAATATCAGTTCTTCAATTTGGAAGAGGCAATGATGAACCTTCTTGTGTAAGTCAAGTTGGTTAACTTTATTAACCAACTTGTATTGATTTACAGGGTGTTTTAAAGGTAGGATGAGGTGTTTAGCTGTTGGGTTGAGTGTATTCTAACCTAACCACTCTGTGATCTGGCAAAATCTGGATTCTGGCATCCTACAGGTCTCAACAATGACGGTTTACTGATGGTCGACCTGTCCAACTCAATGGGCAAATTTTGTGTTTTTATTTTCCTTTTGTAAATTAAAATTTGCACAGACTGCATTATTTACTGAAATTAAAAATGATGGACAAAGAAAATAGATGTGCCCTGGTACCTGCTTAAGGTCATTAAAACTTGGAAATTTTTTTTTTATTAGCAACTTTAATGTTACTAAGAACTGTACTGTATGTTACCCTTCAAGGGAGTTTTCTTGTAACTGATGAGGGGCACTTGAGTCAAGGAATTGGACTTGTCCTCCTATTCCTTGGATCGAACCTGATTGCATCCCAACGAAGAAAGGTTAAGGGAAATCGGCCTGATGACATTGGAGGACAGGAGGGTTAGGGGAGGGATGGGAAGGACATGCAAAATACTGCAAGAAATTGACAAGGTGGACAGAGACACGATGATTCCCTAGGCAGTGTATAATCCATGTGAGTTGAGGAATTTTCCCTAAATGTAATAATACATAGTACTGTACCTTGTGCCATGAGGTCCATGCTTATAATTCCCTTAAAAGTATAATTATATTGGTTTCCAGCTTTATTTGTTCATGTGCAGATACAATTGGTCTCATGCACCTTTACCATTACAAGGAGGGAAATGTGTTGAAGGAACAGCAATATAAAGAGGCTAAAATGTGGTGGGTTTCCCTTTGGGGTTACCCTGCAATGCTGTATGACCCTTATGGATTTAGCCTTTGTTGTGATTATAATAATAATAATCCCATTTGGGGTGCAATCCTTGGCCCTGCTACTCTACTTGATTGGAAAAGTTTAACCCACTTGTCGCCAAGAAATCTTGGTTGACACTTACACCTTCCTGTGGGTCTTGAGGGCCCACTGGGGGATATGCAATTTTTTATCACCAATTTGGATGAGGTTTCTTCCCAGACACCAGTACACAGGTATGGAAGATGGCAAATGTGGTCCCAATTTTTAAAAAAGGAGACAGACATGAGACATTAAACTACAAACCTGTGTCACTAACGTGTATAGTATGCAAAGTCATGGAGAACATCATCAGTAGGAGAATGGTGGAGCACCTGGAAAGAAACAAGTGTATAATCGACAACCAGCATGGTTGCAGGGAAGGAAAATTTTGTGTCACAAACCTACTGGAGTTTTATGACAAGGTGACAGAAGTAAGACAAAGAGAGGGGTGGATAGACTGCATTTTCTTGGACTGCAAGAAGGCCTTCGACACAGTTCCTCACAAGAGGTTACTGCAAAAGCTAGAGGATCAGGCACACATAACAGGAAAGGCACTTCATTGGATCAGAGAATACCTGACAGGGAGGCAATGAGTCATGGTATGTGACGAGGTGTCAGAGTGGGCACATGTGACAAGCGGGGTTCCACAGGGGTCAGTCCTAGGACTGTGCTGTTTTTGGTATATGTGAATGACATAATGGAAGGGATATATTCAGAAGTGTCCTTGTTTGCAGATGATGTGAAGTTAATGAGAATCAAATCAGTTGAGGATCAGGCAGGACTACCAAGAGACCTGGAAAAGCTACAAGCCTGGTCCAGCAACTGGCTCCTTGAATTTAACCCTGCCAAATGCAAAGTCATAAAGACTGGGGAAGGGCAAAGAAGACCACAGACACAGTATAGTCTAGGTGGCCAAAGACTGCAAACCTCACTCAAGGAAAAAGATCTGGGGGTGAGTATAACACCGAGCACATCAATCAGATAGGTGCTGCAGCGTACAGGCGTCTGGCAAACCTAAGGATAGCATTCCGATATCTCAGTAAGGAATCGTTCAAGACTCCGTACATCATTTACATCAGGCCCATACTGGAGTATGCAGCACCAGTTTGGAATCCACACCGGGTCAAGCATGTCAAGAAATTAGAGAAAGTGAAAAGGTTTGCAACAAGTCAGAGCTACGGGGATTGTCCTACGAAGAAAGGTTAAGGGAAATTGGCCTGACGACACTGGAGGACAGGAGGGCCAGGGGAGACATGATAACGACATATAAAATACTGCGCGGAATAGACAAGGTGGACAAAGACAGAATGTTACAGAGGCGGGACACAGAAACAAGAGGTCACAATTGGAAGTTGAAGACTCAGATAAATGAAAGTGATGTTAGGAAGTATTTCTTCAGTCATAGAGTTGTCAGGAAGTGGAATAGCCTAGAAAGTGACGTAGTGGAGGCAGGAACCATACATAGTTTTAAGACGAGGTTTGATAAAGCTTATGGAGCAGGGAGAGAGAACCCAGTAGCAATCAGTGGAGAGGCAGGGCCAGGAGCTATAACTCAACCCCTGCAACCACAAATAGGTGAGTACAGGACTCGATGTGACGTGAACTCTCCCTCTCTGGCCCTGTAAACCATAACAGGCTTATGCAGGGTAAGCTCTCAGTGGCCCTATAAACCAACAAGAAGTAAATAAGTAGGTTTATTTAGGTAAAGGTACACATAAATACAGTTACACGAATTATCATGCATAGTAACGTATGCCCCTCAAGGGAGGCTCCTTGACACTGGTGAGGGGCTCTTAATCTAGGGAATTGAATCTGTGCTCCGGTTCCCTGAATTGTGTCTGAATACTTCCCATCAATTCCCCCCACATGCGCTGTATAATCCTACAGGTTTAGCGCTCCCCATGATTATAATAATAGTAACATGTTACCCAGGATAACCCCAAAAAAAGTCCAAGGTTATTCGATTGGTAGCACACTCAGCTCACACACTGAGGTCAAGGGGTCGATCCCCGGTACAGCTGGAAACATTAGGACGTGTTTCCTTAAGACACCTGCTGTCCATGTTCACCCATTTATTTATTTATTTATTTATTTGAACATGTACAGAGAAGTACAAGGAATACAATTTTTAAAGTGCAGCATGCCAAAGCCCCTTGTATGCAGAGCATTATGGGGTGTTAATCGACTGGTGTGAGTTGTATCCTGGGGGACAAAATTGACCTAATTTGCCCGAAATGCTCAGCATAACAAAAGTAAGTAAGTAAGTAAATTTATTCAGGTATACACAATACAGTTACATAGAATTATCATACATAGCAGCATGTGTGTAGAGAACCTAGGATAACCCAAAAAAGTCAGACAGAGTGACTTATTTCCAAGGGTTTTCTATATATTAGTATCCCCTCAAGGAAGGTTCCTTGATGTTGGTGAGGGGCTCTTGATTTAGGGAATAGGATCTGTGCTCCAGTTCCCCGAATTAAGCCTGAATGCCTTCCATATCCCCCCTCCCAGGCGCTGTATAATCCTCCGGGTTTAGCGCTTCCCCCTTGATTATAATAATAATAATAATAATATATATTAGTATGTCATTGATGTCAACTATGGTCTGTATACTTTGTACATGTACATGTACTGGTGGCTAAAGCTCCCGCTTCACACACGGAGGGCCCGGGTTCGATTCCCGGCGGGTGGAAACATTTCGACACGTTTCCTTACACCTGTTGTCCTGTTCACCTAGCAGCAAATAGGTACCTGGGTGTTAGTCGACTGGTGTGGGTCGCATCCTGGGGGACAAGATTAAGGACCCCAATGGAAATAAGTTAGACAGTCCTCGATGACGCACTGACTTTCTTGGGTTATCCTGGGTGGCTAACCCTCCGGGGTTAAAAATCCGAACGAAATCTTATCTTATCTTATCTTATCTTATTTTATACGGTGTAAGCTCTCTCTGGCCCTATAAACCAATACTGAACTCCAATACTGAAACTATGTATTGTGCCAAAACAAAATCATTCACATTGCTAATTATTATTATTATAATCAAGGGGAAGCGCTAAACCCGGAGGATTATACAGCGCTCGCATTGCTAAACTCACAAACTAGTATTTAGTCACTTAGCCATAATACAAACTTACCTCATAATTTGTAATATTTTAAAGTTAAGAATTAATCTAAGTCTGCCCGAAATGCCTAGCCATGCTAGGTGTTCTAGTGGTACACTGTAATTATTATTTTACTACATGTAAACCCTCTGTAATTATTATTTTACTACATGTAAACCACACAATAACCAAATTCTGTAAACTCAGCGTTGTAATCCTTATAGAGAATAAACTTTGAATTGAATTTGAACTTTGAATTTGAATTGAATTGAACAAGAAACAAGACAGTGTGCACAATGGTTGCCCTTAACCGTAACAATAACAACGGAGGGCACGTAATTGTTCTCATTTGTGATGGTCAAAAATATTTTTAAATTGATCAACAGGTACGCATTGTTTGCCAGTTCACTGTCTTGGGTGAAAAATAGTATGGTGATACCGACAATATGTGGAAAATAACATTTATTGACAGTTCAGTAGAGGAAATGTTTGGCCAGGAGTGGCTTTATGTTTCCTCTAATAAATATCATGAACTGGACGTAAGTGTTTAACCCCCCAGGGAAGGTGCTTTGCTGCTGGTGAGCTCTTGATCCAAGGTATTGAACCTGACCTTATTTCACATGTGCAACATCTGGGTATCTTTATTCTAGACGTTTCGCCATCCAGTGGCTTTATCAATACAAATTTGTATTGATAAAGCCACTGGATGGCGAAACGTCTACAATAAAGATACTCAGATGTTGCACGTGTCTTAATTTTATCTTGTAGGTATTGTATACCGTTCTTGTACAACTAACCTTATCTCTTGGATCGGACCTTATTGCCTTCGTTCTTCCAGGCACTACATTACCCCTATGGGTTTAATGCTTCTCCTTAATTAATATAATAATGATGTTTCCTGTGGCCTGGTTGGCAGCACATTTGCCTCAGAGTGTCTGTGGTTCAGTCCCCGACACGGGTACAAATGTTGGGCATATTACCATACACCTGTTGTTCTTGTTCACCTAGCAGCAGGCCTACTGGTTCATTCAAGGCAGGTTCAAGTCCCCACCAGCCCAAGCCAATGCTCCAACCTAGTCAGGTACCTGGGTGTTAGTCATCTGGAAGGACCCCAATGAACATAAGACAGACAGTTCTCGATGATGCACTGGCTATTATTTTATCCTGGGTAGCTAACCCCTCTGGACTAAAAATCCAAACAAAATCTTATCTTACTGTATAAATTTTGTATATTATGTATCCACTACTCCAGTAATAGTTCAAATCCACAGATCAAAGTATACCTTTAGAGGGTTTCAGGGGTCAGTGCCCCCGTGGCCTGATCTGAGACCAGGTATAATCAGATTGGTAAATATAATGTCAGTACTTAACAAGAATGAATATAATATTGATCTAACAGAGTAGGATTTAATTGGATTAATAATCCCGAAGGGTTAGTGACTCGGGATAAACTAATAAGTGTCACTTATTTCCATTTATTTTGTTTCTTCCCCAGGATGCAACCCATAACAGTTGGCTAACTCCCTGTTATCTATTTATTGCTAGGTAACAGAGGTAGCAAGTGTGAAGACTTGCCCATATATCCCACCTCATAGTAGGATCAACCTCATGAGTAAATATGCTTGGCCCTTTTCTGTTTCTTTTGGAAATGTCACATTGTTTGATATTGTTGGATTATCATTAATTATGTCTATGTAATATACTCTATACGAGGAGATTGGACTAGGGAACTCCCCTCTCTTTTTCGTGCTGAAGACCAAATTCTTCCTCATATGACAACAACAGAAAATAATTACAAGCTTCTTATATTTTTTTTTTTTTTATTATTAACACATCAGCCATTTCCCACCAAGGCAGGGTGGCCAGAAAAAGAAAAAACTTTCATCATCATTCACTCCATCATTGTCTTGCCAGAGCATTGCTTACACTAAAGTTATAAAACTGCAACATTAACACCCCTCATTCAGAGTGCTAGCACTGTACTTCCCATCTCCAGGAATCAAGTTTGGCCTGCTGATTTCCCTGAATTCCTTCATAAATGTTACCTTGCTTACACTCCAACTGCATGTCAAGTCCTAAAAACTGTTTGTCTCCATTTGCTGCTGTCTAACACACTCATGCATGCTTGCTGGAAGGCCAATCTCCTCGCACACAAAACCTCCTTTATCCCCTCCCTCCAACCTTTCCTAGGCCGACCCCTACCCCGCCTTCCCCCCACTACAGATTTATACACTCTTGAAGTCATTCTATTTTGTTCCATCTCTCTACATGTCCAAACCATCTCAGTAACCCCTCTTCAGCCCTCTAGATAATAGTTTTGGTAATCCCACAATCTTCAAACTACAAATTCTCTGCATTATATTCACACCACACATTGCCCTCAGATATGACATCTCCACTGCCTCCAGCCTTCTCTTTGTTGCAACATTCACCACCCATGCCTCACACCCATACAAAAGCATTGGTATAACTATACTCTCATACATTCCCCTCTTTGATTTCATGGATAAAGTTCTTTGGCTCCGCAGACTCCTCAGTGCACCACTTACCTTTCTTCCCTTGTCGATTCTGTGGTTCACCTCATCTTTCATAGACCCATCTGCTGACACGTCCACTCCCAAATATCTGAATACATTCACCTCCTCCATACTCTCTCCCTCCAGTCTGATATCCAAACTTCCGTGACCTAATTTTTTTGTTGTCTTCATCACCTTACTCTTTCCTATATTCACTTTTAATTTCCTTTTTTTACATAACCTACCAAACTCATCAACCAACCTCTGCAACTTCTCTTCAGAATCTCCCAAAAGCACAGTGTCGTCAGCAAAGAGCAACTGTGACAACTCTCACTTTATTAGATTCTTTATCTTTTAACCCCACATCTCTTGCCAACACCTGAGCATTCACTTCTCTTACAACTCCATCTATAAAAATATTGAAGCTTCTTATAGGAACTAGAAAATTAGTGTACAGTATTGTGATGTTTCAGTGTCAGACATGAATAAATGCCCAGATGTTGCAGCAGTGTTGGAGGGTTTGCTTCAGGTGGTGAAGGTTGAGTACCAATCATCAGGACAACTGTCTTCTGAGGTTCTTCACTCACTTCATCTTCTCCATGGCCAGTCACTTCTAAATGCCCTTGACCTTATTGATAGCAAGAAGGTAGGTAAATTTAGATTATACTCTTTCATAGATAATTTTTAATAGGTTAATTAAGGTTTGTCAGGTAACAGGACAAGTTCTTCCTGATGCAGGTCTTAGTCATATTATGACCTTCCACTGGAGCTTTTGGTCATTTGACCGAGGCCGTCCGCTGGCTAACCGATCCATCCCTTTAAATATTATGGTTATGATTATAACCCTTAGATTTCGGTCTGTTAATTTTAAATATACAGTACATCATATAGTATGGTACAGTAATTGATGACTCAGTGGAAGACAGCTAGTGTGTTAAAAAAAAAAATTCAGTTTTTTTTTCTTCTGCATTTCTTTGATCTTATATTCTCAATCACCTGTCAGTATGCTAATTTTTTTCTGCCTTGCAATAATTCTGTCATTCATAATCTCTGCATATTTTCCCAAACTTTGCACTGAAATACCAATTATTAAAATTTCTCATCAGTTTAACTATACTAATCTTACACTTATATAATCATTAATTATGGATCCAGACTATAGTCTCACTTTATTTTACCAGCGTATAATTACAAAAAAAAAGTACTCGTCCTCTCTGTACCTTCATTTCAGTAATCAAATTACAGAATTATAAGGATTATGGTACTTCTTGCAAAAGAAAAACAACAGCTTATATATAAGAATGGCAATGTTATTAAAGGTAAGGTAAACATAAAGTACCATATATACGATGAAGATGTATTGAACACTTATCAATACTAGCAATAACTCACCTGAAGACAAACACGGAAAATTAATTTGGTCCATATATTTTGAATTCTAACTGGAGCCCTCTGTAAGCTGAAAATAGTATTAATGTTGGTAGAATTACCAACAATATATGTATTAGGTAAAAGGACACAAGTGCAGCTAATGTGACATCTTATTGTGGCAACGTTTTGCTCTCCAGGAGCTTTGTAGCAGCTTGACAAAGCTGCTATAAAGCTTCTCAATATATTCTGAGAATGACAGTTCACATCAGTGTCTCATTTTGCTTTAATGCACTCTGAAGGAGGGGTGGGGATATCTGCAGTTTTGGACTGTAGTATTGGTGCTCCTCTGGCAAGACAGTGATAGAGTGAATGATGGTGATGTTGCTTCTTCTTTTTTTGGGTTACTCTACCTTAGTGGGAAGCAGCCGGTTTGTTGAAAAAAATAAACGGGTTTCTTAGATGTACAAAGATTTTATTTTTTTATGACAATGCTCCAAATGGCCTCACTTTTTGTAACGAAGATAAAGATTAATTTTTGAAAATTACCCATTGTTAACCATTCCATGCCATTTTATTACATTGTAATGTTCTACTTTCAGGTCACAAAGGTAATATCGAGCAGCGGTCGTTGGGTATATCAAGTTACTGGCAGCTCAGGAACTCCATACGTGTGTCTCCCAAACTCCATCTTCTGTCAGTGTCCTGCATTTAAATATGCTGTGGTCAAGAGGAGAGACAGTGTCATGTGTAAACATGTTCTTGCTGCCCACTTGTCAACAGCCATGGGTACAAATGAGGAAAAAAATGTTTCTGATGAATACATAATGGACATTTTGGCCCATATGGATTGAAATATCAAGAATATCACATTTTTCACATTTCTAGGGCTTTACCATCCTTGCTCCTCAAGGGAGGTTCTTTGATGCTGGTGAGGGGCTCATGATCTAGGTAATTGGATCTGTACAGTGGACCCCCGACTAACGATATTATTTCAATCCAGAAGTCTGATCGGGTATCGTTATAGACCGAATTTGTTCCCATAAGGAATATTGTGAATTAGATTAGTCTGTTTCAGACCCCCAAAAATACACCTACAAAAGCACTTACAAAAATACACTTACATAATTGGTCAAGTTGGGAGCTGATCATTAGTCGGGGGTCCACTGTACTCCAGTTCCCTGAATTGATCCTGAATGCCTTCCATCATCCCCCCCTTACATGCACTGTATAATCCTAGGGGTTTAACACTTCCCCATGATTATACAGTAATAATAATAATTTACTATCCTTGCCTCCAACATCTAGATAATACACAATACTTCTTGATATAGAAAGAAGTAAATAGTCTTCAGCAGATACCCTGGGTATGAACTTTAAAATCCTCTACTATCTGCTTTTAACATGTTGGGTTAGAGGAGTGATGAGCATTCTGGATGTTAAGAATGACTGTGGCCCAGGAATGAGTTTAGAGTCAGGAGTACATTTGTGGCAAGCTTCCACTAATACTACTCACTTTAAGCCCTCAATGCTGTATGACTCATGTGGGTTTAGCCCTTAGTTTTTATTATAATAATTTATGCCCTCAAATCACAGAACATTGAAGGTCATGTACACCAAGGTGTATGTATCCCAGGAATTATTCACCAAGAGTTTGCTTTAATCCCTACTTTAGGGATTAAAGCAGGGTTCCCCAAAGTGGTTAACTTCTACCCCTATGGGTCAATATTAATAACTTTGAGGTTAATACTGAAAGGGTCAATAAGTGGCTGGGGGTCAAAAAGGGGTCAGTGCATGATTGAAGCTGGTTTTAGCCATGTAAATGCAATTCTAACTGAATAGACTGAACCTGGAGGAGTGTGATGACTTGCCACTAAAACCCACCAATCACCAACCAGATATCAGTGTCCATGTTGATGCTCACCAGATGTACCTTTCCTATTAATATCAACAGTTTTAGTCAAAAAAAAAAAGGTACGTTAAATCTTATTTTTTTTTCAATAAGTCAGCTGTCTCCCACTGAGGCAGGGTGACCCAAAAAGAAAGAAAATCCCAAAAAAGAAAATACTTTCATCATTCAACACTTTCACCTCACTCACACATAATCACTGTCTTTGCAGAGGCACCCAGATACAACAGTTTAGAAGCATATATAAAGATATATAACATATCCCTCCAAACTGCCAATATCCCAAACCTCTCCTTTAAAGTGCAGGCATTGTACTTCCCATTTCCAGTACTTAAGTCCAGCTATATAAATTATTATTATTATTATAATAGCCCTTGTGGCTTAGTGCTTCTTTTTTATTATAATAATAATAATATTATTATAATAATCAAAAAGAAGCACTAAGCCACAAGGACTGTACAGCTCCGGCTATATAAAAAAAAAACTGGTTTCCTTGAATCCCTTCACTAAATATTACTCTGCTCACACTCCAACTTCATAATTTAAATATTTTTTTATGAAATTGTTATTATTACTATTTTTATTCAGGACTTGAGTTCTGGAGATGGGAAGTACAGTGCCTGCACTCTGAAGGAGGAGTGTTGATATGTTGCTGCTTTTTAGCTGTATATCTGTAGTGTAGGTACACCTTTGGCAAGGCAGTGATGGAGTGAATAATGATGAAAGTGTTTCTTCTTTTTTGGGTCATCCTGCCTTGGGGGAATGCCAGGATGACCTAATATTTGGGGTCGATCAACAACCTGAAACTTTATTAAGGGGTCAATGAACTGAATAGTTTAGGGACCCCTGGATAAGTATCCTTGACCGGTGTAGTAGTCGATAGGCTTTAAACCTGATAAGCCTACCAGTCAACAGGACATTCTTCCATGTAATTTCCGCCACCGGGTGGTGGTGCAGGGCCGCCACCGGGCGGTGGTGCAGGGCCGCCACCGGGCGGTGGTGCAGGGCCGCCCCCGGGCGGTGGTGCAGGGCCGCCACCGGGCGGTGGTGCAGGGCCCCCAAACGGGCGGTGGTGCAGGGCCGCCACCGGGCGGTGGTGCAGGGCCGCCACCGGGCGGTGGTGCAGGGCCGCCACGGGCGGTGGTGCAGGGCCGCCCCCCGGGCGGTGGTGCAGGGCCGCCCCCGGGCGGTGGTGCAGGGCCGCCCTCGGGCGGTGGTGCAGGGCCGCCCCCGGGCGGTGGTGCAGGGCCGCCCCCGGGCGGTGGTGCAGGGCCGCCCCCGGGCGGTGGTGCAGGGCCGCCACCGGGCGGTGGTGCAGGGCCACCACCAGATGGTGGTGCAGGGCCGCCCTTGGGCGGTGGTGCAGGGCCACTACCGGTTGGTGCTACAGGACCATTTACATTGCGGATGGATCTATGTCGAGGTTTGCAGGGTGGTCCCTTTGGACCATTCTTATTTGCAATATTACCACCTGCAACATTATTGTTGATTATTACATTGATGCTGGTAGCGTTACCCTTAGGTGGTACCGGGTAATGGGTTACCCTGGGTGGGCTGTGGGTGGTGACGGCGCTGTGGCAGGAGCCTAAGAAAAAGCAGATCCCATACTTGAAGAGAAGACCTAAGATGGCCACAGCCATAGCAGCATAAATATTAACACAGTGTTTGGTATCATACAAGATGCTGGTCAAGCTGAAGCAAGCTTTGTCCCTCTGAACTAGTTTTGTGACTGGTCGGCCATGGTAGTAGTAATTAGGAACACTCCTGCCATCCACATCGTATCTGTATTAGATAAGACATATGTTAATTTTGACCTAAATTGCATATAAATTTCTTGGCTTACGAAGTTCAATGTATTATTAGTATACGCTGTATAGTCCTTGTGGCTTAGCGCTTCTTTTTTGATTATAATAATAATTATTAGTATACACACGCCTCGCTTTATCGTCATTTCCTTGTGGCTTAGCGCTTCTTTTTTGATAATAATAATTTATCGTCATTAACTTCTTGTACATAAATATATATCTTAATTTCATGCATTAATGAAAGACATATCCCTCATGGGAGGTTCCTTGATGCTGGTGAGAGGCTCTTGATCCAAGGCACTGGACCTAACCTCCCAGTTCTTGAGTCGAACCCAATTACTTCCTGTTTCCCCAGGAGCTATATAAACTACGGGTTTAGTGCTTTCATATAATAAAATATACATTATAACTGCTTGTCTCCCATTCCCCAGGCGCTCTTTCACCCATACGGGTTTAGAGCTTCCCCGTGAATTTTGAATATATCAGAGGCGAGGTGTTTGTGTTCTTTTAAAAATACAGGAGTTTCGTGTATTAGTACTCTTATATGTGGTTTCAGGAGTCGAATAATAGCTCCTGGTCCTTCCCTCCAACTTGTTAAGAGAGATAAGACTAACATTTTGTTCGGATTTTTAACCCCGGAGGGTTAGCCACCCAGGATAACCCAAGAAAGTCAGTGCTTCATCGAGGACTGTCTCATTTCCATTGTGGTCCTCAATCTTGTCCCCCAGGATGCCACCCACACCAGTCTACTTACACCCAGGCACCTACCTACTCGCTAGGTGAACGGGACAACAAGTGTAAGGAAACTCCCAATTTTTCTACCCTTGCCGGGGATAGAATCACGGACCCTCAGCGTGTGAAGCCAGAGAGTTGCCTACCAGGCCACGAGCCACTTCAAATAACTTGTTGCTTGCCAGATTTACTTCTACCTTTGTGGGGCCTATCGTACCTACTCTTAAATATATGTATGAAGCCTGCCTCCACTATTTCGTCAAGGTCAACACACTTCTTGACCTCCCCGCGACTGAAGAAATACTTAATGACATCCCTCTGATTTACACTCCCCTCAAGGAAGGTTCCTTGATGTTGATGAGGGGCTCTTGATTTAGGGAATTGGATCTGTGCTCCAGTTCCCCGAATTAAGCCTGAATGCCTTCCACATCCCCCCCAGGCGCTGTATAATCCTCCGGGTTTAGCGCTTCCCCTTGATTATTATAATCTGATTTACACTGCTGTATGACCCTTATGGATTTAGCGCTTAGTTTTAATTATAATAATGTGACTTATAGTATGTCTTTTACTTCCAGTTGTTACCTTGAGTACTTGTTTTCTGCCTCTCAAACAGCTTATTAATCCCAATGAATATTTTGTGTTCTCAGGTTTACCTTGGCTCTGCTGTCTTTCAGTGTGGTTGCAAGGGTCGAGTCATAGCTCCTGTCCCCGTCTCTTCGCTGGTCATTACTAGGTCCACCCTCTCCCTCTGCTCAGTGAGCTTTATCATATCTCTTCTTAAAACTATGTATGGATCCTGCCTCCACTGTGTGTGTGTCATACCTGCTGTTGGTATTGTTGTCACCAGTGTTGTTGAGGATGTTGTCAATAAAGTCCCTCTGTGGCCAGTGTGATGGTAGGATCTTGAGCCAGGTCTGGAGGACTTCCTCTTGTGTTGTCCGGACTTGACTCTTCTCCAGGCTCTTCACCGTCATCACGCCCACACAGATCACGCCCACAGCCACCACCACCCACAATTTCTGCAACGATGGAGCACACAGCATTTTCAATCCCAGTGTCTAAAGATTTTATTTTGCTTATTAACTCTGGAGGATTAGTAATCCAGGATAACTCAAGAGAGCCAAGCAATATGGCTTGACAAAGCTCCTGGAGAGCGAAACGTTGCCATAACAAAATGTCACAGTTGCACTTGTGTCCTTTTACTTTACAAGGCTTATTACCATTGTGGTCCTTTGGTCCTCTTCCTCAGGATGCCACCCATAATGGTCTAACACCCTGGTACCTACTTACTGCTAGGTGAACAAGGGCTACACTCATCCTGGGCTCGAACCTGAGTCCTTTGGTTGTGAACTAAAGGTGTAGAGGTCATATAACTAGAAAGTCAGTTATGAGATCACCTGATCATTGGGAAACTAGGGAATAATACCCTTCAAGGGTGTTGCTGATGAAAGACTCCTGATCCAAGAAATCAGAGCTACCGTTCTCATCCTTGGATCAAACCTGATAATTATATATACAGTGGCGAACCTACATATGTGGGGCCCAAAAGCTTGAACTGTTATGGGGCCCCTTGGCAACCACCAATGGCTAGTTGACATACTTCAGTAACCTGTTATTTTTTATTTTAACTATTATTTTGTATTGAATTACACTCCTGTATAATCCTCCGGGTTTAGCGCTTCCCCTTTGATTATAATAATAATTGAATTACACTATGTAGACCCAAATTTTTTAAGTAATGTGGACTAAAGTTGCTTTTGGGGCCCTTCGAGATTAGGGGCCCTCCTGGATTAGGGGCCCTGAAGCCTACCTAAGCTTCATTTCTTTCATAGCAAATCCACCCTTGTATATATGTATGCAACACCAACAATATTTTCTTTTTCTTACCACACAGTAACTACAAATGTAACCTTATCCGAAATCTAACTTTAAATCACGAAATAAGCGTAACCATAACTTACCATAATTGCTTATCGTTTGTAGTTAAGACCATAGCATGTGTACGAGGCTACTGTACTTCCATTCCAATGGCTCTTATTTATCCTATTATCACCACGGATATTATCACAAATGATATCATCACTACAGCCTCATGCTACCTCACTGCAAATACTCTCCTCTTTGTTTCAGTCACCAGCTACAGGTCCACAGATAACTTCAGTCACCAGTACAGGTTCTCAGATAACTTCAGTCACTAGTTACAGGTCCTCAGATAACTTCAGTCACCAGCTACAAGTTCTCAGATAACTTCAGTCACCAGTACAGGTCCTCAGATAACTTGTCTCTACCTACAGGTCCTCAGATAACTTCAGTCACCAGTGCAGGTCCTCATAACTTGCCACTGGTACAGGTACTAAGATAACTTCAGTCACCAGTACATGTCCTCAGATAACTTCAGTCACCAGCTACAAGTTCTCAGATAACTTCAGTCACCAGTACAGGTCCTCAGATAACTTCAGTCTCTACCTACAGGTCCTCAGATAACTTCAGTCACCAGTGCTCACCAGTCCTCATAACTTGTCACTAGTGCTCACCAGTCCTCATAACTTCAGTCACTGGTACAGGTACTAAGATAACTTCAGTCACCAGTACAGGTTCTCAGATAACTTCAGTCACCAGTTACAGGTCCTCAGATAACTTCAGTCACCAGCTACAGGTCCTCAGATAACTCCAATCACCAGTTACAGGTCCTCAGATAACTTCAGTCACCAGCTACAGGTCCTAAGATAACTTCAGTCACCAGTACATGTCCTCAGATAACTCCAATCACCAGTTACAGGTCCTCAGATAACTTCAGTCACCAGTACATGTCCTCAGATAACTCCAATCACCAGTTACAGGTCCTCAGATAACTTCAATCAACAGTTACAGGTCCTAAGATAACTTCAATCACCAGTTACACGCCCTAAGATAACTTCAATCACCAGTACAGGTCCTCAGATAACTCCAATCACCAGTTACAGGTCCTCAGATAACTTCAGTCACCAGTACATGTCCTCAGATAACTCCAATCACCAGTTACAGGTCCTCAGATAACTTCAATCAACAGTTACAGGTCCTAAGATAACTTCAATCACCAGTTACACGCCCTAAGATAACTTCAATCACCAGTACAGGTCCTCAGATAACTCCAATCACCAGTTACAGGTCCTAAGATAACTTCAGTCAACAGTTACAGATCCTCAGATAACCCTAGTCACCAGCTACAGCCCTAGGTCCAACCGTGTTAATGTGTCTCCTGTGTCTGACAGTTCTGGCCGGCTGTCTGTCTTATATATACCGGACAATGTCAGTTTTACCTAGGTGATTTCACGCAAATGAGAAAATTTTGTCTGGGGAGGGAAGTGGGTGGGGCCAAGAACACGAGGTGTAACGAGATGTTTAACAATTATTTTTTTACGCTTCTTGTCTTTGACAGCTAGTAACTTGCATAAAGTGGTATTATTATTTTTCTTATTTACTATCAGCTGTATAGCCCTTGTGGCTTAGCGCTTCTTTTTGATTATAAGTATTTACTATCAGTTCCTCAGAGACAGTTATCATTAGGCGGCTCTTCGTGAGTGCAATAAAACAGCTGCAAAGTCACGTTATAAAGAACAGTTGAACAAGTGTGAGACGTTGGAAATATTACATGGATCGTAAAAGTTATCTATTTTTTATGATTTTAACACCAGCCGTCTCCCACCGAGGTAGGATGACCCGAGAAAGGAAGAGATGCTTTCTCCATTATTTATTCAGTGTCTTGCCAGATCACTGCCCAAACTGCTACAACCCAGCCCCTCCTCTATAGAGCACGTTATTATAACTGGAACGCTAAAACCGTAGGGATTATACAGCGCATGTAGTGGGGGGGGGATGGAAAGCATTCAGTCTCAATTTAAGGAACTGGAGCACAGATCCAATTCCCTAGATCTAGAGCCCCTCACCAGCATCAAGGGATCTCAATCATTGAGGGGCCTTTAGAGTACAGACACTGTACTTCCCGCCTCCAGGACTCTAGTCCAGCTAACCAGTTTCCCTGAATTCCTTCATAAATGTTCCTTACCTTGCTCACACTCCAACAGCACGTCAAATCACAAAAAAAACAGCTTGCCTCTACTCACTCCTACCTAACACGCCTACCTAACACGCTCACACAAGCCTGTGTGTCAGTCTGAAGCCAAGGTAAATGAAAATTCTGTAAGCAGGCCTGCAGCTCTGTAGGACCCTTGTGGGTTTAGCACTTAGTTACGATTATTATAATGCAAGCAGGCCTATTGGCTACCCTGGGATGATGCATGCCAAAATAATTTTTGACTTTTTTTATCTGTCCACTCCATTTTTTAAAACTGGTGACCCTTGTAGGTTTAGCGCTTGTTTTTTATTATAATAATAATTTAAAACTGCTCTAAATACTGGTCTTAATGACGCTCAAAACTTTTAATTTGCTATTTTTCACTCACAACTCCCATGGTTCGGTTGATAGCGCACTTGCCTCACACAGTGAGTATCCGGGGTTCAATCCCCAGTACGGGTGGAAACGGCCGTGTTTCCTTACACCTGTTCCTGTTCACCTAGCAATAAGTAGGTACCTGGGTGTTAGTCACCTTACACCTGCTGTCCTTGCTCACTAACCAGTAAGTAGGTACCTGGGTGTTAGTCATCTTATACCTGCTGTCCCTGTTCACTTACCAGTAAGTACGTACCTGGGTGTTACCAGACAGTTGTAGGTCCCGTAAAATTTTGTTTCTTAGCATTTCGTTTCGATAATTAGGTACAATTAACGTAATGGGAGACGCAGGTTACTTCCTAACGTCTTGTGGCTTCAATATGTACTGTTCAACGGGACTTAAATCAGCTTTTCCCGTTTTTAAATATATTTTTTTCCACAGTAGTAGCTGGGGTTTAGTTCCCAGGTGAGTGAGGCGTAATGACCTTAACCTGCAGTTCCTAATCACCTACCATTAAATAGATACCTAAATGTTAATAATTATAACCTTAATCTTTATTTCTACCAGTATATGATGCAACTTATACAGACCATAGCTGACATCAATGACATACTGCTATATAGAAAGCCCTTGTTATACTGAGTATTTCCCGCAAATTATGTTATGTCCCCAGGATGCGACCCACACCAGTCGGCTAACGTTTAGATATCTACTTACTGCTAGGCGAACAGTGACAGCAGGTGTAAGGAGACATAACACCCAGGTATCTACTTACTGCCAGGTGAACATGGACAACAGGTGTCTGAAGGAAACACCCTACTTTTGCCACCTGGGAATCGAACCACGGACCTCAATGTGCTGACAATTATGGGTGGCGTCCTGGGCGGTAGTCTAATAAACAAAATTAAGATATTAACGCTTAAACCTCTAATAATTTAATTAAGAAAAAAATGGGTGTGGAATATCGCCGTGGTCAGTAAAGCTTCCCCAGGGAGTCTCTAACATGCAAATACAGTCATTATACACATAAAAATTACTAACTCTGGAGCTGTCATGTTTTCTCTTTGGAGTAAAGACTGACGTGATGTAAATTGCTGCTAATACCATTAGAAACTCTTTTCATGTTTTTAACAATCTCTTGACATTAAAAATACCGATTTTTTCCCTATCTGGGGAGTTATTATTATTATTATTATTATTATTATTATTATTATTATTATTATTATTATTATTATTATTATCATTATTATTATTATTATTATTAAATTTATGTATGCAATAATTTCGTAAAAATCATTTTGAACCTAACGAAAAAAATATATTACTATGGTATTTATTATTAAAATTATTGTTAACTTATCTAAAATATATTTAATTGGATTAGGCTAAATTAAATTGAGCTTGTTATAATAAGGTTAGGTAAGTTTTCTAAGGTTCTTTTGGTACATAATTTTTATGTTAACATAAATTAAAAATATATATCTGTAAATGCAAAGAGAAAATTTTAGAAAGGACTTAATTTTAAATGAGTTCTTACTAATAGACCAATTTTACTTATTCGGCACGACATTATACTATATGTGTGTGTGTGTGTGTGTGTGTGTGTGTGTGTGTGTGTGTGTGTGTGTGTGTGTGTGTGTGTGTATGTTAGTTACCATTTTGTGGTTGCAGGGGTCGAGTCCTAGCTCCTGGCCCCGCCTCTTCACCGGTTGCTACTAGGCCCTCTCTCTCTCCCCGCTCCATGAGCTTTATCAAACCTCGTCTTAAAACTGTGTA